ATGGTTTTGGCATCACTGGCCACTCTCTGTGTTGAGGTACTCTTGAATTGGCTTTGCCACCCTTGCCTAACTGACTGGATGCCCTTCTTGTCTTCTTACTGAACAAAGTGATGTCCCGTTTCTTCTCTCACAGTTTATCACGGAGACACCTATTCCATAAATTCGAAAATCCTCCTTTCACTCTTCCCCATGCGACAACAGCAGGCGATCAGTTGCCGAGACAGCTCACCTCAGCAGACCAGCAGGGTCAAAGGGGAGATAAAAGGCACAACTGCAGATCTATGAATGAGTACTACAGCAAGGTAAAATGTGTGAGGTAATCTCTATATTTTCAGGAAACCTGCATTGACGGAAATACGCATCATATGCAATGTAAATATACGTAGAGTCAATTAGGTCGATAGATATGTATATGTACATATGCAAATATGTATACATGCATACACATGCAAACATATATACTTATATAGACAGTTTAGAATATGCCATAGAAGCATTCGAAGGAGGAACACACCAGATCAAAAATATGTTTTGAAAACAGCTTCTATTACCATTATTATCTTTATTATTATCATTATCATATTATCAGCGTCATCAAGATTATTAGCATGATTAATATTATTATCAACATTACCGTTGCGATTATCATTATCATTATGATTATCATCATTATCATTATTACTTTTTCCTATTGTAATTATAATTATTAGTATTACTGTCATCAACATCATTACCATTACTATCATTGTCACTGCAGTTATTATGATCATCTTCATTTCTATCATTATCACTATTATAATCATAGTTATCATAACTGGTATCATTATCATAATGCATATAGATACCGTCGGGAATATCGCCATACATCAATACTGAATATATATATATATATATATATATATATATATATATATATATATATATATATATATATATATATTGTATATATACTGCACACATATATAAACGAGTATATGCATACGCGTGTGAGTGTGCGTGTGTCTGCAATATGCACAGTTGTATGAACATCGTTCACATACCTTTTGTTCTTTTTTACCCTGAAAAATCATCCAAAAATCGCCCGTGTCCCAAGACCTTTTGGGAAAGGTCAGTGAAAACACAAAGTTCGGCTATGCTGATTTCCTTTCCCTGGTAACCTTTGAAATCAATGGCATAAATAATGCACTGACCATAAGTTCGAAGGCCTCCAAGCGACGAGATTTGGAGTGCAAGAAAGCCTTGTAAACAAATACTTTGGGACAGTGTTCTTTTCTCTTATTTTGGTGGGGGATTATACATAATTAACAACAGGTATAAAACTCTCTATAAGGACTAAGATATTACGGATAAGACATCTTATGAGATTCAAAAGCTTTGAGATACATTTCCAAAATTAATATGCCTTTTGTTTGATTTAATAAAGATTTTTTGTTAATTTTTTTCTCGTGCTATGGAATGCAGCTTCTTTGGCGTAATATGGTACTCACACACATCCAGGAAACATTAAATGGGTGACCAGTCGTTACATTTGGGTAAACTTGTGCGATTCCCTCCATCAGATAGGAACGAGGTCCTTCACCTTCTGTGGGTCCTTCCCAGCACCATAAATACGGGGAGAGGCGCTGGGGTCGAAGCAGAATCCTGTACGCCCTCGCCGGAAACGCAAGCAGGTAAGGGGGAGGGACTCGTGGACCACTTTTTAGAAATAGTTACTTCTTTTAGTGTCAATGGTGATATGTAAATACCGATCATAGACGCAATATCTTAATTTTTTATGGCATAAATAATGCATCCCGCATATCTTTCTTACATATATTTAAACCACTGAAATTCTCTTCAGCTTCAACCACAATATAACCATGAACTCTCGCGTGTTCGTCGCTCTCCTCCTGTGCGGCCTCTGGGCCTCCTCCGAGTCTCTCATCCTCTTGGGAACCACCGCCGCAGCCGGGACCATCGCCGCTACCACTGTCACTGCTTCTGCAGCGGCAGCTTTGGGCGTGGGCGCCCTGGCAGTGCTCAAGGGAGTTCTTATCGGGAAGCATCTCAAGCGCCGTTACAGGAGGGACGTCGATTCTATGGAGATCGACGATGAAGCTGAGGTTTGTACTGACGATGTTAAGAGGAATGTTCATATTGCAAGTTCAGATGGACAAATTATATTTCTAGATACGCACTGCGCGGTGTATCTAATCTAAACGTGCTTCTCACCAACACATGATATGCACTGCGCGGTGTATCTAATAATATATTTCCTCCTCCAAAGGTGGCCGTCGCCAAGGAACTGGATTCGGCCGGCTGCATCGCCAAGTTGCTGTGCGAGATCGAGGCGACGCCCGCCGACAGCCTCACCCCATCCATGTCCAACCTTCAATGACGGCCTTCTCGAGAATCCGACAACTGCTCGGAAGTCCTCCGCCGCATCGGTACGATCAA